TCCAAAATGGCGCCAGGGTGACGCGGAGGAGACGAATTGTTGAATAAAGTTGTTATTTTTGTTTTCTTTGTGCACAAAAAGTATTCTCGTAGCTTCATAAAATTACGGTTGAACCCCTGGTGTTACATGGATTATTTTACCGATCTCCTTGCTACGTTTCTGGACCTTGATCGTGGTAATTAATTAATTATAATAATTAATTAATTTAATTTATAATTTATGCATTTAGCAGACGCTTTGACTTACAGTGCATTCAGGCTATACATTTTTTACCACTATGTGTATTCCCTGGGAATCGAACCCACGACCTTTTGCGCTGCTAACGCAATGCTCTACCATCACAGGAACAGGAACATGGTAATTACATTGCGGTCTATGAAGGGTCAGAGAGCCCTCAGAATTCATATCTTAATTTGTGTTCCGAAGATGAACCGGAGGTCTTACGAGTTTGAAGCGACATGAGGGTGAGGAATTAATGACAGAATTTTTATTTTTGGGTGAACTATCCCTTTAAGGCGGTGAATTTGTTTCTTCACTTCAGCAGCACTTTCATACACCAAACTGTACAGTTTTACTCCTATCTATATTTTGAAGGCTTTTACTGAGGGGTTTGCTCATATATCATTCACACTGATTTACACAACATTTTATTTCTAAAAACATGGTGAAAATGTATTTGCATTCCGTCTATTGACAGTATTTTTTAGGGATGCACTGAATTTTCGGACGCCGAAAATGGCATAATCAGTTTTTGGCTGAAAAAAAAAAAAAAAAAAGGCAGAAAATACAAACCGAAAATATATGCCTTCTTTCCCTTCGCCCTGTGCTCAGCGCTCAGATTTCACTCTTGCTCTAGCCGTAATCACGGCGCTACCCAGAAAAGGGCAATCATGTCAGCTGTATGGAAATACTTTAAAGTGTCTGTTCGGTGAAAATTTCAAGAGGAGATACGGTGCCGAAGCACTTTATTTACCATGAGGGGTTTGATACACCTCCTGTAAACAAGTTCAGTAAAATTGGCAACATATTCACAGATTCAAATTTCCTTGGGGTTTATGTTTCCCAAAAGCATCGTTAGCTAATTACGGTCGCAAGTTCCATTGAGCTCTATTGGTAACGACGGAACTTGCGACCATAGTTGCTTTTGGGAAACGCACCCATGATTAATAACTCGTGAGCTTAACATTTTTTCAATCGCAGTAACATAGACAACAAGCTAATTTTCCTCAAAACGAGCCTTCCCCTGCACTGGACAAAATACATTGCTCTCTATGCGGAGACAGCTGAGAGACAAGTCCGAAGGGACCGACTGCAAAGTGCAAAACCTGAAAAGCGTTACTACTAAAATAGTCAATAACGTCAATGTTACACACTGTAGTGTCACCAAATTCAGTTTACACATCAGTGGTTTCCTACTGGTTATACTACATCACTTAATTAAAAAAAAAAAGTGCTTTTGCAAAATAATGTTTTTATTATAAAAATATTAAATAACTTCACTTTAATACATTGTAGTGTCACTGAATTCAGTTCACACATCAATGCTCTCCTGCTGGTTATACTACAACACTGACAAAAGTGATTATTTTATTGGTTTGTAGTTTTTCAGTTCAGATGAATTACATTTCATGAAGTATATGAATATTAATACAATCAATTATATAAAAAGTATTTTAAAATATTTTAAAAGAAGTCATTTTTGTTTTCAGTATTCGGCCAAGTGTATCCGGAATTTTCGGTTTCAGCCCAGAATTTTCATTTTGGTGCATCCCTAGTATTTTCTGAATTATGGAGTGATAAAAAAAAGAAGAAATCCAAATCCCCTTTAACTCTAATGTCAACAAAACCAAACAAGAATTTTTTAACCAATGTTCAGATTTCTGTTCTGGAAATGTATGCAAATGCACGCATATTTAATAGGATAATGCATCATTTGAGTATTTGAACACAACATTTAAGAAATCTTGTAATGTCATAATGCACTGTGATTAATTCACTAGGGAAGTATGGTGATATCTATTAGTTTAAGATTTGACTCTTTTACCCTATATAGTGTCTTCTACTGATGTTTTAAATAGTTTTCCTTTTGTGTGACAGCATTCTGTGACTGCGTCGTGTTTTTCACGTCACAGAAACCATACGGCTCTGGGAGGATCTTACACACATTCACGTTAAATCACTGTATCACGCTGGATGAGGCAGTGGTTTCGCAGACTGACCCAGTGGGACTCACCCAAATCCCCCAACGTTGGCGGCCGTGGTTCCCTCACCAAACACCTTCCCCGAGGCGGAGCCCAGCGGACTGTTGAAGGAAGGGGTGGAGCCAAACCCCGCAGATCCGCCGAACGCTGGAGATCCACCAAAGGTAGAAGGACTGCCGAAGACTGGCGCGCCCCCGAAACCAGCTGCAGAACGCCAGATCAGAAACACACAGATTAGCATTAGATCAGACAGGAGAACAGGAAGCATACTGCCATTGTTCAGGAAAGAGCATCGTTCACTGAGCACTCTGAAATTACAGCCAGCTGAATAATTCAGTGAGTCTCGTCATTGAATTACATTTTCAGGATCGCTGACATTAAAGTAAATGCCTGTTTGGTAAAAAAAAAAAAGAAGAGGCAAGCTGAATCTAAAAGACTAACTGATCTTCATTATCAAAAACTGAGATAATAATAGTAATAATAATGATAAATAAAAAAAAATAAAAACAATCATAAAATAAAAACAACAATAATAATAATAATAATAATATATAAAAAAATAAAAAAGATAAAACAAAAATAATAAAAACAAATAAAATAGATAACAACAAAAATAAAATTGATAAAATCAAAATAATAATAAAAATTATAAAATTAAACAAAAGTAACAAAGTATATAATAATATATAAAACAAAGTAATATAATAACAACAACAACAACAAAGATAAAAAAGTAATAAAATAATAAAAATTAATAAAATAAACACAATAATAATAATAAAGACAAAATGATAATAAAAACCAAAAATAAAGTAATATAATAAAGACAATACAAAAGTAATTAAAATACTAAAAAGTTAATAAACAATAATAAAAATAAATAAGAATAATAACAAATAAAATAAAAACAAAATAATAAAAATAAATAACATTAAGAAGAAAAAACAACAACAACAACAAAAAAACAAACAAAATAATAATAATAATAAAAATTAAACAACACAACAACAATAATAACAGTTCTTGGCATTAAAATGTCCACTTCCTCATTTATGTGTTAGACTGCATCACATTGTGTGGTGTGTGTTTGACCTGGTTTGGTGGGTGTAGAGAACGACCCGAAACCCTGTGCAGCCACAGACCCCGTGCCGGAGCTGAATGAACCGCTGGCTTTCTGTTCACCAAACGAACTGCTGCCGAAACTAAAGTCCGTCGCTCCGCTGCTCCCAAACAGGTTAGATGGACCTGCCGGAAACAAACCACACAAGAACTTCAGCACTAATGCAGAGGAGAGATGCTCTCTGGCGCTTAAAACACAGATACTATAACCATTTTCATTTTTTATACTTTTTTTAAAATGTAGTTTTTATTCATTTATTTCCATTTTAGTTTTAGTTATTTAAGTATATCAAATTAAAGTTGAAGGTTTTTTTATTTTTATTTTATTTCAGTTAACATTTTATTTCAAGTAAAGAAATGTTTTTTTTTTTTTAATGGTTACAGTTTACTACAATTGTACAATAGTAAATATCAGTGTGCTCACCTGTATTAATGGGTTGACCGAATCCACCTGTGGCTGGCGATCCAAACGGGTTTCTATGGGCAGCATCTTCACTGGGTTTTCCTCCAAGACCACTGAAAAATCCTGATCCTGATGAAGTGTTTCCGGTGTTTGACCCGAACAGACTTCCGCTGGACTGAGCCTGATAACAAAATCAGATAAAAAAATAAAAATAAATAAAAAACCCCCCCTGCAATTAGTGTATCAACCAGGGGTGTAACGGTACATGTATTCGTCCCGAACGGTCAGGGTACAGACGTTACGGTTCAGTTTCCAGCAATCAGACGACGAAAACAGTTAGTCATATAGGCGAAAAAACACAGAAGGGGGAGCGCGCAGTAATGCAACGCTGAAAGAGCAGAAGAAGAGACGGTCACAATTACGGTCAAGTTCCATTGAGCTCTATTGTTAACGAAGGAACTTGCGACCATAGTTGCTTCTGGGAAATGCACCCATGATCAATAACTCATGAGCTAATCATTGTTACTACACAAATAACACCACTTTTTCAGTCGCAGTAACGTAGACAACAAGCTAATATTCCTCAAAACGAGCCTTCCTTTGCACTGGACAAAATACACTGCTCTCTATGCGGAGGCAGCTGAGAGACATGTTCAATTATTTTCTAGATTTAAAGTCCAGTTTCCTGCAATCAGACGACGAATACAGTCAGTATTTGATAGTCAGGCAATCAAACACAGAAGGGGGAGCGCGCAGTAATGCAATGGTGAAAGAGCAGAAGAAGAGACGATCTACGCACCAACCCAAACCAAGAATGGCACGTAGGCATGCAAGAGCTCGAAGAACCGCCTGCTTGTTTTAAATCAGCAGTGTGGGAAAGTTTCGGCTTCTAGAGATAAACCTGTCGACCAGCCATAAATTGGAAAAATTAATTTTTTAAAGTTTTATTTTGGCCTATCTCTATTCCGGAATTACATTAATCATTTCCCAAAAGGTAATTTATGTGGAAATATTACAAAGTCTGCAAATAGGATGCTAACAAGAGGCCAGAGATGCTGAAGACGGACACAAAGAGGAGAAAATACCATACCAGATCAAGCTCACTGTATACAATATGCAAAATATTGGAAGAAAAAAATAATTGAATTAGGGGTAGTGGGTTATATGAGTGGAACTTACCATCTTTAGAAAAGTTTAGTGGCATTTTCTTTTCCTCTCCAATTAATGCATATTAAAGTAGTGTTTACATGTGCAGCTGCACTGTATTGCTACTGTTACATAAGCGCCACCTGCTGCCAGAGAATAAATTTGCATTTACATTCAGTCCGTCTGCTGTTTTTGTTTTGCGCAGGAGTCTTATGTAGCATCATTTCACAAATCTAAAGTCAGAACATTCTGTTTTTGCTTTAAATCTTGAAATTATACAATGTAATTCAAATCAAAAACAACTGCTCATGCTACATATATGTAGCACTACTCAAAATAGAAGAAAAAAAAAAATCCCTGTTGTATCAAACTCGTATCGAACCGTGACCCCAAAACCAAGGTACGTATCGAACCATGACTTCTGGGGGGTGTGGGTGATATGGGGTGATACCGGGGGTCATTATAGCCTATTCCTACATTACTTGAAGCTCCTTGATGGCTAATGTCAAAATCGTAACTGCACAATGTGCAAAATGCTAGACTTCATGTTAAATATTTTTCATAGGTTAGTACTCAGAGTCTGCACTCAGTTTGTGATATTCCTGTTATACAGTATTTTAGAGTAAACAGTAGGAATGCAACAATACAGTTAGCCCAAGGTTCAATAAATACCTCAGTTTTTTAAACACAGTTTGGTTCTGATGGTTTGGCACAACAGAGTTCTTTTTAGTGATTTTAAATGCTATTTAAAAAACAAACAAACTACAGTATACTTTAAGTAAAACTCCAGTACATTGTTGTACACTGTAGAAAAACATGGATTATCACGTTTACCTTAAATTTATTTTGAGAGTAGTATTATTTTTATAGACGGGCCATTATTTAATGCTATGAACACATGTAATGTCGGTTTAATTCACACTGGATACTAGAGGGCGCCCCTGTGCAGAAAGTCCACATATGCATCACCGAAGAAATAGCGCTCAGGACTCCAGGAAATACCATACACGTGTTTCCTCATCTCAGGGCACGACTCACGGACACACAGAGCCAGTTTGGAGAGAAATAAAAAAAAACACGGAAAACGCTCTGATTGGTTGAACTCCTCATCTTTTTCTGTTGCTTGTTTACTGCGCGTGGACAGGTCACCGGGTTTTTGCATAGTTTAGAGTGACAAATCGTACCAGCATACTTTAAGGTCAAAATGCGTACCCGCTACGCAAAATGCATACAGGTTGGCAGGTCTGGTTAAGGGATTTTTAGACCAGTCTGCTGTATTTTAAAAGGTTTCAGGTCTCACTGGCTGGCAGGCAAAACCAAGAGTGAAAACCTGAAATTTGTGTCTAAACAATGGAAATATACAGCCAATATGTAATTTGGGTGACTCAAAGCAGTCCTTCAGCAGACTGACAGCTCATCCTGTTTCAAAGCCTGCAGCAGAGAGAAACTCTGAAACTTGTATCTGACATGTTGCAACTCCAGCCTCCACTGCATGCTGATGAAACCCCATCACTGCATCTGAGACTGAGACTCAAACACACACATCCAGCTGAATAATAACCCGCCTGCTTTAGCAGGTAAAGAGCTTATGATGTGCTTTGTAAGGACTGTACCTGTCCAAAGACGCCGGCTCCGCTGGCCTGCTGTCCAAACACTGATGAGGTGGAGGTGCTGCTGCCAAACACTGAACAAAAAAACACACACAGATATTAAGAGATCAAACATAAAACTCTTTGTGCTTATTCTTTAGACTGCATCTGAGACTGAGACTCAAACACACACATCCAGCTGAATAATAACCCGCCTGCTTTAGCAGGTAAAGAGCTTATGATGTGCTTTGTAAGGACTGTACCTGTCCAAAGACGCCGGCTCCGCTGGCCTGCTGTCCAAACACTGATGAGGTGGAGGTGCTGCTGCCAAACACTGAACAAAAAAACACACAGATATTATGAGATCAAACATAAAACTCTTTGTGCTTATTCTTTAGCACTGGATGAAAGCAGTCTCAAAAGTATTAAATGCATGCACAATCATCTATGAACTTGATAAACACTGCAAATGCATCTTACTATCCACAACCTTTCAAATACCTTTCAAAGAAATTCAGATTTAAATGTACAGTGAATTGCACAAATAGAGACGTTTCTTTTGTAAAAGTACTTGCAACAAGGATGATGCACATTTGTGGATCGAGTGGAATGCATGCATTCATTGACCATCCTATTTGATTCACTTGGATTTTGAGACTTGATTGTCTGACTGAAACATAGGCTTTCGACACTCTCTTCATGCTCCTCTATCTGTTTGACTGATTCAGTAATGCACAGATGAAAAAATCAAACAGCAGTTGATCTCAAATATGCAGTCAACAACTCATGACATGAAACATGAAATCACTCACCTATGAAATGATAAAAACTGCATATGTATTGTACTATCCACAATAAAACCCAGAATTAAAGGTGCAGCGATTTGTACAAATAAAGACATGTTTGTGAATACACATTTTTTTGTATTAGTGTATCAGAATTTGCGCAAGCAACAAGGAAGATGTGCATTTGACTAATTTGCATGTTGAGGCTGAAACACTGACTTTCAACACTCTCTTTGTGCTCCTCTATCCGTTTGACTGATTCAGTAATGCACAGTTCATCTCAAATGTCATTGATTATCCAGAACATAATATGCAGTCTAAGGTGATTCCGACAGATACATCTGCAACATTTTAATCAGCACATTCTTTAGAGTTCTGTCTCAACAAGCAGAGAGTAAACAGGTGTGAACAGGGCATCCTACAGTGTCACTGAAGCTCAGGGGTCAGGGGTGAGAGACTCAGCTGTTTATAATGTGGAAGTCTCAGGATCTCTGAGAATTCATAGGAATGGGAGAAATCCTGGCCTGAGGACACGCCCGAGACTGCTGCACATTCCAGTGCTGGACAATCTCATCCACGACCCTGACATGTTCATGACACATGAACAACACTCAATTACTCCTGTGAACATACACACTAGATGTCAACACTTTTAATGTAGCTAGTGTCTGTCTTCACCTATTACCACTTAGCCGCTTTTCCACCATCGTAACTAAAACGATCTGAGCATGGGGTAAAAAATGTGACAAAGATAAACTTTTAAATATCAGCTTTAAAATGTGGATTTACAGTGAATTTTTAGCATGATTTTAAGAAAAAAAAGTTCACCCTACATAGTTTGGATTAGGCCTAGGCGATAAAATAATAATTATTAGGGCGATATAATTTTCCTTGATAAAACGATAAGAATTCAAGAAATGTTCAATATAATGTTTATGCGCCAAAAGCATTACGAAACTCATTTGAACCGTGCCATACAGAGCATTTGTCCACTTGGCTCAAAGTTTAAACGGCAGCGCGAGCTTCCTAGAGCAGATGCGTTTACTCGCTGAGAAGCCTCGGTCACTAAACAGTGCTGTGAGATCCAGTGTGAAGAGCTTTAATTCAGCGAAGAACACAAATGACTCCGTGATTTAAACTAGTTTAAAGCCAGATGAAACAGCGCTGACAAACAGGAGAAACACTACACAACGATACAGTCAGAAGGCTTTTCAATCCACAAATCACCATCATTTACCACTGATTTACCATAGTAACACTAACTGCACCATGGTATTGTGGCAGAAATGTGGGATATTCATATAGAATTTTATTATATTATTAACGTAGACATGTATTAAATGTATTAAACGAGTAATGGCATATAATTAAGTCTTTTTTGTGATCAAACATTGCTGCGTTTCAAACACTTAAGTCAGCTCGTTTGTTTGGCTTTTTTTGGCTATTCATAAGCTGTGGTTCTCATTTCATTGCCTGTGATTCCTTGCATAGTTTACATACAGTATCAAGGCATCATCAAGTTAACAACTGATGCATTCCTGTAGCTAAAACTGTAGAGAAAGGTCACGGGTTCAATTCCCAGGGAAAGCAATAACTGATAAAATGGGTACCTTGAATTCAATTTAAGTTGCTCTGGATAAAAGTGTCTACCAAAAGCATTAATGTAAATGCATTTGTTACTTACATTCTTACTCTGATTTCACAGCACCATAGTGGAAAAAGAAACTGTAACCATGCCAGCTGTTCAGCACAATGGTGGAAAAGCAACTTTTGTTTTTGCAACTACACAGGTAAGGCTGTACAACCATATGGCTTTCACTATAAGGCCCAGTGTGATAATTAGATTGCAAAATGCTTCAATTGAATTAATTAGTACACAGCCTACTGCATGTGCTGCCGGCTTCACAGTGAGCAAGTGGCGTTAACATCAAGATGCTCTGTTCTGTAATCTACACTACACCAGGCTCATGTATAAATGTGGGACAATCCCTCTGGGGTTAAGAGTACTGATCAGGTGAAGGCTCATGTCTCACTTCTAGTCATGATCAGGAGCGTTTCTAGCCTTTCATCAGTACTGGTACTGGGGGTGGGTGGGGGGTCCCTGGGCCCAGTACCAGTACTGATGAAAGGCAAGAAACGCAACCCCCCCCCCC